CCCCCCTTCCCCCCCCCCCCTGCGTGGCCCAAGAGCGCCCCCCTCCCCCCCTGCCCCCCCCAGCCCCTCAGAGCGGCCACCTTCCCCCGTCCCCCCCACTCTGAGTGGCCTCAGAGCGGCCACCTTCCCCCTGTCCCCCCCACTCTGAGTGGCCTCAGAGCAGCCACCTCCCTGGGCCGGACTCTCCCCTGCCCTGAGTACGTCTGCTCACGGCTTTGGGGATCTAATCCACGACACTCTCCCGCAGGTGTTCCGGCCTCAGGTGGTGACAGAGGAGTTTCTGTTCAGCTATGGGACTATTCTGGTGAGTAGCAGGCATCGTGTGGGGTGGCACTGGGCCGTTGTGGCTGCAGGACTGGGTGCGAGAAGGGAGGAATTAAGTCTGAGTGGCATTTGTTTGTAGGGAAGAGACCTTTTTGTATTTTTATCTGCTCACCATAATAAGATTTGACATTTGGGGAAAATACGTTCTTTCCTGATAACGCCCTTGTTTGGAGGCGGTAGGAAGCCCCCCTCCCCCCCCCACACACAGTAGATGCAGAGTTAGGCATTTAAAAGGGCGTGGGTGAGCATGGCAGCCAGGATGCTGTGCTGGTTGACCCTCTGTCCCGCCATGCATGTCCCTCTCTGAGGACATTGTCTGGAGTTAAACTCAGCTTTGCTCCTTCTTTCATTGCTCTCGACTTGACGGCGTGGGAAGATGAGAAAACCATGAAGGTGCCACGTTCACTCCTGTTCTGCACACACAGATCTTCCTGACGATGTTCTGACCGGAAGTTAGTGTGTGCTGTGGGTGTGCTGAGGTGGGCTGCCATAGTCCTGGCACTCGCCACCCGGAGCCTGACCTTGGCGAGCAGGAGGATGGAGGTGTCCCCAAGGCAGCACGGGGTGTGCCAGAGTCACAGTGGTTTCGGGGGCACAAAGGGCCCTCGAGTGATGTGGTTTTCTAGAAGGTTCATCCTGGAGAAGCCGGCGCTGTTCCTAGGACATGCATTGGGTGGGGTGTGAGGTGAAAGCTTCGGGCTCAGTGAGCATGGCAGGGTGCTCTGCCTCGACCCTGCCCTCCTGCCATGAACCCTAGAGTCTGGGAAATTCCTCAGTGGGCCACATTTTCCTGCACCCAGCATCTGTGCCTCATCTCTTAGCAAGACCTTGTGCTGTAAGGACACCACGCAGGTGCCAAGGCCCACCCCAGTCTCGGCCCCTGTAGCTGCTGTGCGATGTTTCACGTAGCCTTGAGATGGGTGGCCTGTGTGTCCCTGCGTCCCCCCTCTTCCCCCACCTCTTCTCCTGTCAGGACTTTCTCTGCCTGCACTGAGCACACTTACAGCTTCCACAACCTTGCTTGCTTTCGTGGGCTTTCAGGAATGAGCTGTTTGCCCTTGTTTCAGGGAGAGGGCTGAGGGTGGTGGCCCGTGCTGAGGAAGGAGGGCCTCTTCTTTTCTCCTCCTCTCCTCTCCTCTCCCCTCATTCTCTTTTCCTCTCCTCTCCTCTCCTCTCCCCTCCTCTCCCCTCTCCTCTCCTCCTCTCCTCCTCTCCACTCCCCTCCCCTCTTTTTTTCTCCAGGACAGTCCTGCTCTCCATGGCCTGCTGTAGGGTTGCATACAGACAGGTGTTTGTGGAGAGTTACAAACAACTTGTGGGTTCATTACGATGCAAAAACCCCTGCACACTCCTATGTTTCGGTTCTCAGTACGGAGCTTAGACTAAAATGGCAAACATTGTATTTTGAGGCCGGCAAGATGGCTCAGTGGTTACAGGTGCTTGTAGCCAAGCTTGAGGACCTGAGTTTGAGCCCTACATCCATACAATGAGAGGAGAGGCCTGATGTGTGTGTGTGTGTGTGTGTGTGTGTGTGTGTGTGTGTGTGTGTGAGAGAGAGAGAGAGAGAGAGAGAGAGAGAGAGCACGCACACACATACACAGAGGAAGGAGCAACTTTCCTGATCTGTGCCATGGCTGGTCAGAGAATACTCCCGTGGCTGCTCTCACTGTCCCTGTCTGCGCCTTCCTGGCTTTGCTGTGACCCTGGAAAGCAGCGGGTCACTGTGATCTACGCCCAGGTCAGGTATCTGTGCAGTCTGTGTCCGTCTGTCAGGAGCTGTGGAGTCAGGTGGTGTTAGCCTTCCCAGGACATCCTTTCAGCGCCCTGTCCTGCTGCCAGAGACAAGCCTGGCACCTCCCGCCCCTGGAGGTGGCATGTGTGGGCTGGCGTCTAAAGCTGTGAAGACAGTTGTGTTCACTTTGGTTAGCGAGGGTTTCCTAAATGGCCCTGAAGTCTGCAGAGCTCACACGGAAGAGCGTGACACACGCTCATACACGAAGCAGCGTGTGCAAGTGCCCACCCGCCTGCCAATGCCCTGCCTGGCACGTGGGGGCTGGGGGTTGACATTGGTGCCCCCGTCTCTTCTCTGCTCTCTTGTCTGAGACAGGGCCTGCTTCGGAACCCTGAGTCTGCTGGTGAGCTTGTAGGTCTCCCGTCTCTGCCTTGAAGTCTTTCCTAGTGAGCTTGACACTCCCAGCTTCACCCGGGGAGAGGCGAGCTCAGCTGACAGATTGCCTAGAGCAGATGGGGCTGTGGGCAGGCCTGTGAGGCCTTGTCTTCATTGCCCATGATGTAGGAGGGCCCAGCCCGCTGTGGGCAGTACACCCCTGGGCACGTGGGCTTGTTGGGTAAGTGAGCTAGTTGAGCAAGCCAGAGGAAGCCGTGCTTCTCCACGGTGTCAGGTGGGCGATGACCTGGACGCTAAGACAAGCAAACCGGGCTCCCCTGCTGCAGTTAGGCATGTACTGCAGCTGAACGCCGGCTTCGGCTTCGGTGTGGGCCCTGGGCCTAGGTCACACCCCGCAGGAAGCGCTTGCCCCGAGCTGTCCTGACCCAGTGTGGGCGGCAAGGCTTGACCTGGTCCCTGGAGGTCAGCGCTCTCTTCAGTGGCGTCCCCACCGCAGCCGGCTCGTCACTATTTGCTGGGAATCTGCCCAGATCTGAGGCCGCATCCACCAGGACTTCCGCTGTGGGTGAAATGGGTGCGGTCAGAGCCCAAGCTGCTTTGTCTCTGCTTATTTCCAGGGTACTTAAGGAGGGAGCCTGGAGGGCCCCGGCCGTGTGCCTCACCATGGCGCTGGACTGTTTCCGCTCATTACCGTCCCCGTCCCCGGTAGAGCAGCGGTGACTTGAGCTCCCCTCCCAGGAGGGGGTCATTAGATCCGCTCCCAGCTTGCAGTTCTGCCTCCATGGCACTCTAGGTCATGTGATCTGAGGAGGTGTGAGAACAGTGTTTCTCAGCCTGTGGGTCGTGACCCCTACAGGGGCTGCACAGCAGGCGTTTATGTTGTGATTCATAACCGCAGCAAAATCACAGGTATGAAGTAGCTATGGAATAATTTTATGATTGGGGTCACCACACATGAAGAAGTGTGTTAAAGGGTCGCAGGGTTAGGAAGGTCGCTGCTCTAGAGTGTGTAGAGAACGGAAGGTTGACTGAACGGGGTGGGAGACTCCATTGTGCAGCTCTGTATGAAAATACAGCAAACCCAGCGGCTGGGTGAGCTGGGTGAGCCAGCACCGGTGGAGCGGCTGCCTTGCTCTGTCCTGGTGTCCTTTTACGGTGGAGCATTCTAGGTAGTTACCTACAGGACCCGAGAGATTAGCTTTATGCAAACACTTTCCCCAAAGAAGTGAAATTTGTTTGGCCACAACTGAACAGCGTGCTTTTCAGCCACCGTGGGCTTTCACAGGCTCCACCAAACAGGGCTTAGCCAGCCGTCACCTGGCTGGGGTCAGCCTGTCCCCACTCAGCTGCCCCCCCCCCCCCCCCCCCCCGGGGGCCTGCAGTCAGGGCAGGGAGGCTGTGGGGACCCTCCTGCAGATTCTCACTAAGCTGGGCCAGAAGACAGGAAGAGCAGGTGAGAGGGAAGCAAATGGGTGGGTCCCGGAGGACGCCGACCTACTGTGTGCTGTACTTCCTGTGACAGGTGGCGCTTGTCACTGTGCACAGCTTCCTGAGCAAGGAGGGCTGACTTGCTGGTGGCTCTTGCTTTGTGTTGTTGGGAGATGGTCCCCCACTTCGCTGTAAAGTCACCAGAGCTTCCTGGCAGCCCTGGGAATGAATGCTCTTGAGTTTTTCTGTCTGTCCTGACTGTAAGCGCCTGTTCCCGTCTTGCTGTGGGTCTGTTCCGCCTCCCATAAGGAGATCTGTGAACACCACGGTGGCCCTTGGCCTGGCAGGAAGCCCCTTTACCCATGAGCCATCTCTCCAGCCCTGCAAGAGCTGTTTTCTGTTTAACCTGGTGGTTGGGGCTGCTGTGTGTGTGTGTGTGTGTGTGTGTGTGTGTGTGTGTGTGTCTGCTGTGTGTGTGCAGCTGCTGTGTGTGTGTGTATGGCTGCTGTGTGTGTGTGTGTGTCTGCTGTGTATGTGTGTGTGTGTGTGTGTGTGTCTGCTGTGTGTGTGTGCAGCTGCTGTGTGTGTGTATGTGTGCAGCTGCTGTGTGTGTGTGTGTGTGTGTGTGTGTGTGCCTGCGCTGTTGTCTGCATCCCCACGGAGACTCTGGCTTTGCCGCCCATGCTGTCTGGCCGTCTGGAGATGCTCTGGGCGACCCTGTGCTGTGGTCACCTGTAGCCCTTCAGGCAGAACAGGCCAAGGAGAAGGCCCAGCACAGGCGGGGAAGCCTCTGCCTACTGGCAGCGGGAGTTTTGTCCTAAACACCCTCATGGCTAACTATTATCTCATTTGTCCAGCCTATAGAGTTGATTTAATTTTAGTAAAGACACCGCTCATGGGCTGGAGAGAGTGAGTGGTTCAGAGCACTGCCGCCTTCCCGGAGGACCTGGGGTTCAGGTCCCTGCACCCACACAGCGGCTCACGGCCAAACACCTCCAGCCCCTGAATCCAATGCCCTTTCTCACTGCTGTGGGCCTCAGGGATGAGTGTGGCGCACAGACATACGTGCAGACTAACACCTCTGTGTAAACAGAAATACAATGTGAAAGATTAGCTACAGAGTCCGGGATTCAGGTGTGGGAGGGTTTTTAGGCGTGCGTGGAAAGCTGGCTCACAGCAGTGGTTTGCTGGGGTGGGGCCTCGTGAGGAGCTGGGTGTTCCTGGGAGGGTCCCTTGTACCCCAAGTCCACACAGTCTGCTGTGCAGTGCAGAATATGCAGTACCTTTTTACATAGTGATTTTTTTTTTTTTTTGATCCTTTGGGGACAGAGTCTTGCTCTGTAGCTGAGGTTAGCCTTGAACTCACTAAACAGTCCTGGCAGGGTTGGACTCATACTGATCCTCCTGCCTCGGCCTCTTGATTG